ATTTTGAGTTTAAAAATTTTTTTTTTTAAATATAATTAAATACCATAATATTCATAAGATTCTAATTTTTATGAGAAAGAAAATTATTTATATGAAATAGACTTTCATGACGAATGGATCCAGGTTTTGATTTTGAGGGTTTTCCGCAACTTCTCCACTTTAATCTCATATTTTAATGAAAAGAAATAAATATTTTAACATAATTCTTTTTATTTCGTTAACGCAGAGATAATACAGATTTAATTCTAAAAGAATAAATTTTTCTTGAAATTAGACCGCAAACAACTTTAGTCGAAATATAATATTCTAACTATTTAAATATTTTTTCTGCATTTTCGTAATTACTGTTTCTTAATATAATATTAAATACTATAAGATATTAAAATTAAATGCAAATTAAAAGGGCCTATTAGGACTATTTAGTTTTTAAATTTTTATTTCAGACCAAAATTTTCCCTGATTTCCAGAAAATAATTTTGACTTTTTCCCTCCTGACCCTGAAGAATATTCTGATTCACTCAAAAAATTATTAGATACACAAAAAAAATTTTATTATTTATAAAAATAATTTATTTCTTGCGATGAATTTTATTCAAATTTTTTTAAATAATTAAATTCCCATAGAAAAATGTATTATTTGTAAAAATAATTGAATTCTATAGAAAATTATTGAATTGTATAGGAAAATTTTATTAAAATTGCAATTTTATTAACAAAATCTTGTAAATAATTTTGTTAAAATTTTTTTTAAATACTAGAATTTTTAAAAGAATTTCATTTAAATTTGTCGAAATAATTGAATTTCTCAGAACTATTTTTTTCAATTCTCTGAATTAATATATTTGAATTCTTTCGAGAAACTTCATTAAAAAAATTAAAAATAGTTGAATTGGTGAGAAGAAATTTATAAAAAATTGGTAAGTAATTGAATTCCTCTGAAATTTTTATTAAAATTTTGTTTAAATAATTGAATTCTTTTGGAAAATTTTCTATCATTTTATTTAAAATTGTACAAAAAAATAATTGAAATTGTGCGATAAATATTTTGTTATATTTATGAAAACAATTGAATTCTTGCAACGAATTTTGTTAAAGAATTAAATTTCTGAGAAGAATTATTTTATTTGCGTGAAAATAATTGAATTCTGGAGAAAAATATTATTTATGAAGATAATTAATTTCTTGTGAAGAATTTTATTCAAATTTTTTTTAAATAATTAAATTTCTCAGAATTTTTTAAAACTTTTTAAATATAATTAAAGTCTATCGAGAAATTTCATTAAAAAATTGAAAATAATTGAAATCTGACGAAGAATTTTATTAATTAAATTTTTTTTTGAATAAAATATGATTTTCTGTGAGAAATTTTATTTTTGAAAAAAATTAAATTCTTGGGAAGAATTTTATTAAAATTTCTAAAATATAATTGAATTGCTTCGGAGAATTTTATTTTTTATACGAAATTTTATTTTTTTTAACGAAATTTTATCAAGTATATACAAGCTTAGATAAGCTCTTACTTAAATCATACTTTTTAATTTACATGGATGGCCTTGATTGTGATTAAAAAATGTGTAAATGTTTAACTTCACTATTTCCTCGACAAATGGTTCCACCACCCTATATAAATATAAAAAAATAATATTTATTGTCAAGGTCGGCCACTTTATGTTTAAAATGCGCAAAGATGAGGACGAGCTATTTCATTTGCAAAAACTGCAATTCTGTATAACTCATAATATAATTGATCATCTTATTAATATTTTTATTTAATTTTATTAATATTTCAGTGCAAAATTTTTTTTTATTTATATTTATTTTTTTATATTGTTTATTTTTATTATTTTGTTATTTCATTAAGTTACAAGCTATAAACAATAAAGAATCAATTTTCCGTAACTCCAAACATGTTATTTTATCTTTTAACGATTAATGCCCTTTGAATTTTAAACATGGCCGACCTTGACTGTAAGGACCAACCAGGACTACAAATTTTTTTTTTTTTAAATCTTTATAACTTTTTCATTTTAAAACCAATCAATTAACTTTGTACAGAAAAGATGTTCCTATTAAACAGTACTTTCCAACCATACACTTCAATTGTCCAAATTCATTTTTAAAAAAGTTATAAACAAAAGTCAAAAGGTGGGCCGACCTCGACTATGTTCCCCTATTATAGGAAATAATGTTTTAAAAAAAGGATACCTTAAATAATGTAGAAAATAAATTCAGCGTATTTAAAAGTTATTAAATATTTGATGTCTTCATTGAAAAATAACAGATTAATTGTTTAATTATTCAATAAAATAATTCAAATTTGTTATTACTTTTAAATGCTCTAAATTTGTAATTGCATTGTATCAAAAAGCATATTTTTTAAAAATTTATTTTAGAAATATTTCCTATCATTCATTATATATTTTATAAAATTACGTCAAATTTTTGACAAATTCTCCAGAAAATTATTAATTTCCATATTCTACATTTAGAATATTAGTATAATATTCTAAATGTAGAAATATGAAAAATTGATGTCCTTCCATCCAATGAAAATGTTAGAGGTGGATAGAATATAGATAAACAAAAAATTTATGTTACTGCAATTACTGCATGAAATAGAAATAATAGTATAATATTTATCTATATATCTTCTTTCCGTTGAATTCGTTAAAATGAAAAAATGAAAATTAGCTAAAATATTTTTAAAAAATTATTTATAAGAAAACTTAAACAATCTTTTGTACAATAAGATTTTATAAAAAATCATATCTTATTTAATAAATAATTACTGCATACTAAAAAAATTTCAAAATAAAATTATTTGGAATATATATAAAAATAATACAATTTTTTTTTATATTTTCTGCCCGCGTGCGAAAAAGTTCCCGGGAGTAGAAATGTAAAAAGAAAATTTTCTTGTGTCACCACTGGGAAATTCCTGAGATATTCCCAGGAATGTCTATAGCTATCATTCCCGGTAACTTTTTCACGTGCTGTGTGGGAAGATTTTTTACCAGGAGTGTCTTTCCACATCTTTTACTTATATGTAAAAAGTGTAAAACAATTTAAGAAGTAAAGTGCTATTTTTAATTTGAATAATTTTTTTAAATTATTAAACAAAATTTTTAATTTTGATAAATTTAACGGAAAGAAAATTGATAAATAAATAAATAATTTTATTTACGCAGTTCAAAAAATTCATCATGTTCCTTTTACTGACAAGATATATTTTTTCTGATTATCTATACTCTATACAACTGTAACTTTTTCATTTGATAGAAGCGCATAAATTTTATTGATTTTTTTATCCGTAGGTATATATATATATGAGGCATTTTACGTGAAATGTCCTAAGTTGAAATTTCAACTTCTTGAAAAAAATTGAAACTCGAGGAATTTGTTGTTCTATCAAGTAGAAATGTGACCCAAAAAATATTTTTGATTTTTTCGAAAAATTGGAGGGGGTAGAGGAGGGTCAATTTGACCAATTTTGCCAACATCGGCTACTTTGTGAATTTTTTCTGAACATACTTGTAATGGGAAAAATTTTTTAGAATATGTTTCTGAAAGGTTTTTTCGTCCTCTTTCCAATGGTGTATTTTATTTTTTAATATTTTAAAAATTTACCCTAATTTTTGATAATTTATATTTAATTTTCAATTTCCCAAAAATCGGTCCGTTTTTTTTTTAAATAAATTATTGCAAACGAAAGCTGAGGTTTTTTCCTATCGGCATGTAAATTTTCAGAATGCCCTTTTTTTTGTTTTTGAGTTATTGAATTTCAAAGAATAAATTGCGGCGCGCAGCGTCCCGGGCGCCTCGTCTCACGCCGGTTGCCATGGGTTGCCACGCGGCTCAGTGCAACCGCGACGCAGCGCGCCGCAATTTATTTTTTGAAATTCAATAACTCAAAAACAAAAAAAAGGGCATTCTGAAAATTTACATGCCGATAAGAAAAAACCTCAGCTTTCGTTTGCAATAATTTATTTAAAAAAAAAACGGACCGATTTTTGGGAAATTGAAAATTAAATATAAATTATCAAAAATTAGGGTAAATTTTTAAAATATTAAAAAATAAAATACACCATTGGAAAGAGGACGAAAAAACCTTTCAGAAACATATTCTAAAAAATTTTTCCCATTACAAGTATGTTCAGAAAAAATTCACAAAGTAGCCGATGTTGGCAAAATTGGTCAAATTGACCCTCCTCTACCCCCTCCAATTTTTCGAAAAAATCAAAAATATTTTTTGGGTCACATTTCTACTTGATAGAACAACAAATTCCTCGAGTTTCAATTTTTTTCAAGAAGTTGAAATTTCAACTTAGGACATTTCACGTAAAATGCCTCATATATATATATATATATATATATATATATATATAAATTGAAAATAATAAAGTTTTTAAAACTGCAAAGAGATACAAACAAATTATATTCTAAGCCCGAAAGCATTATCTTCTAAAGAATAATATTTAATAAAAGTTGTTAATTTGCCTATTATGTTTAATGAACATTTCAATAAATAAAAATGTCGAAAAATTAAAATTCGATCTAATGTAAATTCTGTACAATAAAAATTCGATTATGAACAAATTTTATATTATAAAAATTAGTTTAAACAATAATCATTGCGTAAATGAAATTTCTCAGGAACGGAAATTCTGAACGATAAAATTATTTTTATTATTTAAATTTATTTAATTATTATTTAAAACAAAAATTTCTAGTCAATGAAGGGGTTAAAGCAAAATAGTGTTTTTTTCACACTGGAACACTTACTCCTCCCTTAAGTAAAAAGTATCAAATAATTTGAGAATTAAATTCTTTCTCTTAAATAGAAACATTTTTTTAAATTATTTAAAAAGATTTTCATATTTTAATTTTGACGAATTCAACGAATAAAAGGTATAGATAAACAATATGTATTACTTTTTTTATTCGTGCGGTTAAAAAATGCTATTTTCGTTCTTTTAGCTGACATATTCATTTGTTTGCATTAGTGTCCTTAAAATGTTACAAGTGTAACAATTTCATTGGACAGAGGCACATAAAATTCACTGATAATTTAAGTGGGTAACGTATATTAGTAGAAATGAATTTCAGGAAACTGCAACACTTGTATAAATTACACATCTGCTGAGCACATCAAGAGCGTAAGCATTATATACTTTAAGATTTTTAAAATAATATTCATAAATTGTGTGCGATCACACATTCAAAAAAATCTAGTTGAAAATTATAGAATTCTGGTTATTCTAACCAAAATAAAACGTTAAATATACCCTTAATACTTTTTCTGGTTAAAAGTATTAAAAATTATTGTTACATTTCTGGTAAATTTAACCAGAATTTCTTGTTAAACATACGATTATTTTTCTATTAAAAAAAATTTCTGGTTATTTTTCATAATATACTGTATTCTCATTTAACGTGCGAATTACTAACGAATTTTTTTGTTATGTTTTTTGAAAATCCCGCTAGGAATTCGAAAAGTATTCCGCAAGATTATCGTTACAAAATTCGTTTAGAAAAGAGGTCGAAAATTAAGAAAATTACAGCAAACATTACGTGTAGAATTCCTGGCGGAATTTTTTACATCTTTTACCAATGCGCTATACATTTATATTTTATGATGCAAAAAAAAAATTCTTTTTTAAAATTTTTAATAAAAAAAATTCTTTTTTTATAAACAAATTAATTTTAAATTTTTTATTTAACGCTTTTAAATCTATGTTAAAAATTGTAGGATGTAGACAGTTTCGAACAGTCAATTGTAAAAAAAATCACACTGTCAAATGTAGCGTAGCTTACGAGCAACTTGCAAGCGAATTTTGAAAAAATGTTAAACTCAATCGGCCCATCTCGGGACTTTTTTGATAATTTTCTGTATGTTATCAGGTATAAATAAAAAGAAAAAAAAATTAAAATTAATAACGCCGAAATCTAAAGAAATTTATTTGTTTATAACAAAATAATTTTTTTTTATTAAAAAATTTTAAAGAATAATTTTTTTACATTATTTAAAAAGTTAAAGAAAAACCAAAATTTTCTACCTTTGACAACTTTTTCTGAATTCAATACTTTCAAACTTATAAACTATTGAAAATATAGGTCTACTTTTTAAAAATCGAAAATTTCGAAAATTCATAACTCGAAAATTTTGGCAAATGTGGAAAAATAAAAAAATACGTATTTAAGATTCTTCTATAAAGAATGAGAAAAAAATATGTTTAACTGATTTTAAAATGCCATAGAAAAAAAAAAGTTTTATAATAAATAAAAATAAAAGTTACTCACGATAAACATAACTTTTTCTTTAATTACGCTTAAATATAATAACTTAATAACAAATTTAATATGGCTGATATGCACAGAAGTGCAATTTAGTATTTATTGCTGCGCAGTATGCTACCACTACCCTTTGACATGCGCAGTATGCAAAGCTAGAATACTGCGCAGCAATAAATACTAAATTACACTACTGCGCATGTCCAAGTGTAATGGTATCATACTGCGCAACTTAGAGTATAAATATATTTTGGTTTTTATAAGATGGCCGTATAGTCGTTAATATCTTAAATAAGCATTTTTATTCTAACATGCACGACATGTTATTTGCGTATCGTGTCGAATCGTATCGGTGGCGGTCCCTGCTTTATACAAAATTTAAAAAAATATTGAACAAGAGCGAGTTGCACTCGCATTAAAATGACGCGTTCCGTACACCAACATTAGAATCATTTGGTAAAAAAATAAACTAAAATGAAATATTGAAGCACCCTTTTTTTAAATGTCTAATGCCTATAATTTATTCAAGATTCACGGTACAGAATCGCCGTCAAGTAAAAAGTAAAAACTGCAAATATATATTCTCACAACCCTATTGAAAATCCCCATATGGGAAACCACATGGGAAACCACATGGGATCCTCTGTCAAAAACCATGTAAAACCCTACTTCCATGAAGGAAACCACGTGGTTTACCATGTGGTTTCCCATGTCAAACCATATGGGAAATTGAGACAGGATTTTAGTTAGGAATAGACATGGGAAATTTGAACAGTTCATCTATGCATAAAACCATATCAAATCCCACATGTTTTTCCCAGTCAAATCCTAAACCGAATCCCATGTGAAAAACAGTATCATTTATTTATAATTATTTTCCCATGTCAAATCCTAAACCAAATCCCATGTGAAAAACATTATCCATTCCGCCTTATTGAATATCCCTACATGGGAATCCACTTGGAATTTTACATCAAGGGATTTCACATAGGATTTTATATGGGAATTGACATAGGATTTCATGCAAGATTTCACCTAGGATTTAATATGAGATATCACATAGTATTTTATTAAAGATCCAATGAAGAAATTTTCAAAGGATTAAAAATTATTTAATAAAAAATTAAATAATAAATAGTATTAGTGGCATTACAGGAGAAATTTACTACTTTTCGGAGCACCCTCACCGATTTCTTTCAAACTTGTTAGTATTACATTTGTTGGTCTAAAGTTTCAAAAAATCAATTTTTTAAGTAAAATCAATTGTTTATTTAAAAGTTACAACAATTGCTCAAAATTGTTTAAATGCCCATATCTTTTAAACGGTACAAGATAATTGAGTTTTCTTTTTTGCTAAAAATTCATAAAGACGAGACGCTTCAAAAATTTTATTAACATTTTTTCTTATTTTGTTAATTAAAAAAGTTATTTAAATAAATAAAATTAACTTTTGAGCCGGATTTCAAAATTAAATGACTTATGAACCAAAAAATTCCTTGTTTTTCACACTTTTATATTCCGAAGAGAAAAAGTTGATCGAGTTTTTCAATCACTTATAATTTAAACAATGATTCGCTTGTTTACAATTATTTTGCAACTAAATGATCATCTGTTCTCACCTGCGCACGACTACTGCTACGTCACGTCCGTCTGACGGCATATAATATATTTGACAAGCGTGGAAAAATTCAGGTTATGTTTAATCAAAACAACGCATTTCAATCTTTTTAAAGTTTTTAGCAGTCATGGAAAAAAAAGTTAAATCAGGATATTGATATTCTGATATCCTAAGACTTTAAAAAGATTGAAATGCGTTGTTTTGATTAAACATAACCTCAATTTTTCCACGCTTGTCAAATATATTATATGCCGTCAGACGGACGTGACGTAGCAGTAGTCGTGCGCAGGTGAGAACAGATGATCATTTAGTTGCAAAATAATTGTAAACAAGCGAATCATTGTTTAAATTATAAGTGATTGAAAAACTCGATCAACTTTTTCTCTTCGGAATATAAAAGTGTGAAAAACAAGGAATTTTTTGGTTCATAAGTCATTTAATTTTGAAATCCGGCTCAAAAGTTAATTTTATTTATTTAAATAACTTTTTTAATTAACAAAATAAGAAAAAATGTTAATAAAATTTTTGAAGCGTCTCGTCTTTATGAATTTTTAGCAAAAAAGAAAACTCAATTATCTTGTACCGTTTAAAAGATATGGGCATTTAAACAATTTTGAGCAATTGTTGTAACTTTTAAATAAACAATTGATTTTACTTAAAAAATTGATTTTTTGAAACTTTAGACCAACAAATGTAATACTATACCAAGTTTGAAAGAAATCGGTGAGGGTGCTCCGAAAAGTAGTAAATTTCTCCTGGAATGCCACTGCACGAAATTAATTTTTTTTAGCATAATTTATTTATTTGAACAACGGAGAATCCAAAAATGGTAATAGAAAATTTCCTGTCTGTATGTATGTATGTGTGTATGCGTATATGTATGTATGTATGTATGTCCGCAAAATTTTGTTCGCGTATAACTTGAAAACGTTTTGACGGATTGAAGTAAAATTTGGCAATCTTTCAGGTATTGGTCTGACTTAAAATATTAGCTATATTTGATGAAAAAATATTGAGATGAACAAAAGTTATAAATTTTTCAAAAAACTAAAAATTTTTTTTTTTATTTTTGCAGATTGGCATAAATTTTTTAATTTATTAATAATATAAATGATTTTAAAGATATATAACAATAAATTGAACTAAAAAATAATATTAATATGAAAGAAAAATTATGAATTTTCCAAAAAATTCGAATTTTTTTTTTAATTTTGCCAGATTGCTGTAAATTAATCAGTTATGACTTTTGTAAAATATATATAATCAATAAATTTACAGATTTTAAACTTATTAGTTAGAATGGGAGGTATTCAATTTTTTCAAAAAATTAAAAAAAAAAATTTCCAAATTTTATATTTTTTAATGCATATCTTTTAAAATTTTTGTAATTAAATATTGCATGTTATTTAGTCATATTTTAGCATAACTTTGAAAAAAACTGTCCTATAACTATAAGATGGAAGTACCCAGTAAAAAAAATTTGATACACGGACCGCAGAGTTCGTATACGAGCTCGGTAGCTCGTATGAGAAATCTCTCATACGAGCCTTTTCCGTAATGAGAAGTGTATAGATGCTTATGTATACGAGGTGACTTTTAAAGCATTTTTATTAATGTAACACTATTTTAAAGTAAATGTAGATAATAGAAATGAATTTTCTCATCTATAACAAAGGTATAAATTCATAAGGGAAATGAAGTTTTAAGAAAAAAAGGATAATTTTGTTCAAAAAATTTATTCACACTGAAAAAAGGTTAGAATTTGATAATTCCTTGTTACTCTTACTTACCGACATTAGATATTTTTCGGATGCAGTAAGCACGATTTTGTATTAGCGGTAGAATAAATAAGTTTTTCTTCATTACTAATTTATTTATTATATAAATGTTCTTATATAAAATAATTAAATTTAATACAAAATCGTGCTTACCGCATCCGAGAAATATCTAATGTCGGTAAGTAAGAGTAACAAGGAATTATCAAATTCTAACCTTTTTACGAGTTACAGCGTACGCAGCGTACACCGCACTCTCTAAATCTGAATAAGTGAAATTTTCACTTTTTTCATGTGTGAACCTTTTTCTCACTTATTAATAAGTAGAATCTACTTATACATAAGTGAAATATTCACTTTTTTATGTGTGAACTTGTTTTCACTTATCAATAAGTGAAATCCGCACTTATGTATAAGTGAAATATTTAGTTAAAAAGAAATTCATCTGCGCATTATATTACAATTTATTATTTATACCAACTTTTAAATGTTTAAAAACAATGTTTTTATCATTTCAGTTAATATATTAGAAATTTTTTATTTTATTTAGTTATAAAAATTGTCATTTAAAATTTAATAAATTTTTTAAAAAATATTCAGTTAAATATTATATTAACAGTAATCTAATAACTAACTTTTTATTTACTAAGTATTTATATACATATATAATAAGAGAAATCTTAAACAAAACGTTAAAGTAGAACACAATAAACTAACTCTTTATAAGTATCACCCAATAATTTTCTACGAGTATAAGGCAACTTATTAAGTGGCATTGTAGTGTTTCTCGTTGATCATAAAAGTTAAGCGACATTGCTTGCAGTTAATATTAGGATGGGTGACCGTTTGGGAATTTAGCTTAAAAAAGTTGAAAAATTAATATGTTTATAAGTTTCAGACTGATAATGAGAAGAGAAGAGAGTGTTAAATAGTTGATAGTAAATAAATATTTTTTTTATATAATATTGATCCTGATTATTTATTTACATTCACTTCTTAATGTCTGAGTATTCACTTATCTCATAATTGAATATTCACTTATTCATAAGTGAATATAATTCACTTATTTCATGTGTGAATATTCACTTATTCTACGTGGAAGAGTTTTGAAACATAGAATAAGTGAATATTCACTTAAAATAAGTGAAATTTCACTTATTCAGATTTAGAGAGCAAATCAAATTTTCTTAGAAGCGCCTGAGAAAAATCACATTATCTCGCTCATTTCTCAATACTTTTTCATGAAAATTTAGAGAAATATTGTTCAAATGTTGCAAAATTATATGCAAGGCGATAAAATTAATTAACTCTCTCCGTATCTCCAAAAAAAATTCCCCCTCCCCTTAACAACCCGAACATTAGTAAATACAACAATCCCTTTCTCTCCGAGATTAAATTTTCACTGTCAAATAATAATATTGTCAGTTTTATGTTCTGTTGGGTAAATCAGTAAAAAAATATTCACAAATAATCATGTTCAATTATAATCAAATGAACTTTTAAAAATTGAAATTTCAAGCAAGAATAACTACAATTCAGGAAAAATTTCTTAAATTTCTGGAAAAATGTATTGAATTATAAAATTGCATTTATTACACTCTAAAATTTGTTTTCTATAAAAATGTTTAATTTACCTAATATTAACATTTATCGAGTATTCTAAAACATATATTCATAATTTTTTTTAACATTTAATAAAAATATTAATAAGTAAATAAAATAATCTCAAAAATAATCCTCACCACATCGTAAGATATTTTACATACATTAGCGCCATTTTTTCTATTGTTCGTAAGATCTAGCAGACCCCCCTACCTCCCCCCTAAATGTCTTACGTAATTTATGGACGACCCCAAAAACAAATAACAATAAAAATTTAATAGATTGATCTTGAAATCGTGCTACAATAAGATAATATTCTCGCTACAATTAATCGTACATTAAATACTTTATTAAATTACATTTTCCAATTTTTTGTCATTTTTTAGGGCATCAAGAGGAACTAATTTCAAGCGTATTAGAAGATAATCCTTTAACAAAATACTGTTAATTATTAATCATGATCAGAATAGTATTTATATGCATACTAATTGCATTAGTCAGCAGTAAAGATTGTGAGTTAAGTGATAGAACTGTAGAGAATTTACAGCAAGAACTCGAATTATCGAGGATAAAATTGAAAAACCAGACTTCTGATAAAGAAGATGCAGCCATTTGTATAGGCACCGCAAGATCTGGCAAAAGTACACTCATTAATTATTTAATTCGCAATAAATTGAAAGGCGTGCGTAAATATCTTGAATTTGTGCTAGAAAAAAATGACTCTAACTCCATTGGACCGGAAATTGGCTCTGAATCAGAATCAGTAACTACAGAACCTTCAAAATGGATTTCGACTCATTTTTCCAATCTGGCCATCTGGGATACGCCTGGATTTGGTGACACCAGAGGAGTAAAACAAGACATCATTAACTCATATTATATTTATAACTTGGTAAAAAGTGTTCAATCTCTAAAATTTATTGTAGTTGTAGACTTTGCAAATATTAACACCGATAATACTAATTCATTTTTAGAACTTTTAAATAATCTCGAAATCTTCATTGGAAATAGGTTTCAGGACTTTTTTAAAAGTATATCAGTAATTTTCTCAAAAGTACCCTCAAAATTAAATGGCGGATCAGTCAATTATAATTATTTTGTTTACAAGATACGAACATCTTATTTAAACTCTGGTGTAAACTTGTCTCCTATTGTAAGAAGTTTTTTGGAATATTTAATAAATAATACTAATCAAATTGGCATATTCTATAAAGTGACAAAATTAGGTCCAATGAACCCTGCTCTATGTTATAATATTGTTCCTGCTATTAGGGAAGCTGTTAGTCAAACAAATTATATTCAAGATTTGAACCCGAGTATTTCAGAATCCACAAAAAATTGTATATATGCTACTCATGCTAAATTGATGATGTTTTCATCAACTGCTGAATTATCTATATTAACGGCGAATTTATTTCAAAAAAAATTGTTCACAAATGAATCAGAAGATTACATAACCAGTATAAGAAATAGATTAAGTGATACTGAAGAAATATTGTTAGGCCATGCGGAGAAAAATGCGTCAATAGAAGATATACTATCTACTCTTGAACTCGTAGATGAAAGTTTGAAGAGTTGTATTGAAAAAAATGATATGTTGAAAAAAGTGAAGCTACTTAGTTTTTTTGATTATTTGTTAAATACAAAAGTAGCTGAAGAAGTTACAAGGTCCTTTCAAGCCCTTCTTTGGCCTTTACTTTATAAAATTAAAGATCAAGTATATTTTCTTCATGGCAGATTGCATGAAATAGCCGACGAACAACATAAGAGTATTACTGAAAAACGTCAAAAAGAAATTGAGGAATTAAAAATTGAACTAGAAAGTGCAAGAAATTATAACATCAGACATCTAGTAAGTTTTCTGAACGATTGTCAAGATGTTTACAATATAATTAGAAGATTTTTGGAAAATTTCTTGGATAATTTAATGGGTTAGTTCCACTGATTGGATCAGTTAAATAAATATTTTCAATTGAAAATATATTTTTATCAACATTACCCAAATTCAGATAATTATTTAACCTGGTTATTTACATTTACGGTTTATTTTGGTGACTTTAAAAAAAGAAGTAAGGTTTTGCTTATGTGTAGCTTGAATTATTTTTGTTTATTATATCACTTTAAAAAAGTAATAATTCTTGTCATTGCAACCAGAATTTTTTTTCAGTGAATATAATAGTAATTTACATAATAGAAATTATATTATTATGTAATTAAATATTTTAGTACTTGCTTTTTCTAACCGATTTTCGCATTTACATGCGTAATAATCCTATATAGAGGTTATTCGGAAAAATTTCTTATAATGTTCAAGACTGTAACAGATTTTTACTATAATATTAATATATTGTATCACAATGTTAAATAAATAAATAAAATAAATAAATATTGTCTCGGATTTTCATTTTAATACACCAACCATTGGATTACTGACAAGAAGTAGTGTTATCTAAAGTTAGGAATTGGGAAACTATTTTGTATTTATTTTCACGTCTACAAATAACGAGCGACGGACCCAAACTGAAACTTGGAGAAACATGAGGTCCTACGTTCTCGATTTTCGCGCTATTTTTTGGAGTCGATGTTTTCGTGAACCTTCAAATATTCGTAATATTATGATGAGATAGATTGCTAACAATATACTTCCTGGTCCGAGACACATGTATCGACATATCGATGAAAAAGGAAATGATGCTGGTTACCTCCAAGGTCTTGTGGGATAAAAGATTATCTCCTCTATGAGAAGCAAGCCATTTGGATTTTATATTAAAACTATTGAAGTGTTTTATCAGCCATTAAGAATATAAGTTTAATTAAGTAAGACGCAACTTTTTATTCTAGTTTGAATATTGTATCGATAATATTATAGTTTTTATTGAAATTTTTATTTTTGAGTATAAAAGCAAATACTTGGCTTTTTCACCCACTCTAGGGGAGAGTCTCCAGTTGTGAGACACCTCCAGTTGTGAGACAGTCAATTTTTTTTAACACGCAATATTAAAAAGCCGATTGGTTTATATAAAAACATTTCTTTTTATATAAGCCAACTTTTTCGTGTACGCCGAAGTGGATATATAAACTGTTTTTGTTAAATACCAACACTGTGTGTGATAATCGACTAAAAAGCGTTTTTTCAATAAATGCAAAGTACTTTTTTTGCAATTTAATTAATTGGAAAAGGTAAATGTAATGCATTTTCTTTTAGTGTTTTCCTTATATTTTGTGATGCAATATTGCATTGTTCCAATCTACGGTTGAAAATAATTTAATTTTCGTTTTTCAAAATAGCGCCAATTTCTGGGTGTAAGACACAGCATATCTCGAGTTGTGAGACGGTGTCGACACCCATCTGGGCAGCATAAAAAATACGACTTTGCAGGCATACTATTTAAATGTTGTTTTGATTTTTTTTAGTATTTTTGGGCATGTCAAGTGGAAAAAAGTCAATTGATTCATATATAAGAAATCAATTTTAATCCTCTTGTTAAAGCTATTAAATTGTGTTTATTTGATAGTCATATTTTGTCGAATAAATATTATTATTTAGTATATAATAATATATATTATTAATATATTTAATTATTTCTACTAAACATAACGTTTTGTGTCAAACTTACTAAATTTTAGCAAATTTTAATGAGTGTCTCACAACTGGAGACATTTTTTTTTTTTGAAAAAAGCAATGTGCTCGGAAAATGTATCGTAAAATTTTTTGAGTTTATCGAAACACTACACTTTCTTTTAATAAAAGTTGCGTATTTCTGTTACCTTTTGAACGGTGTATTTTATTTACAATTTCGTTTACCCGTTTACAATTTACGGGTCAAAAATAAAATCCGTCTCACAACTGGAGACTCTCCCCTACACTATACTTTCTAAAAATGTAATAAAAGAAAATCGATTTTTCTGTTTTTTTTAAATTGAGTAGAACCCTTAATTTTATGACGTCTTATAAAGTAGAGGCTGTCAAAACGCCGACAGAAGAACCATTGGAAGCACTTTATCATTAAATAAAAAGAGTAAAATAATTTGAGAAATAAATTACTCTTGGAAAAATTGATTTTCTTCAAATTTTGAGAAAATGTTTCTTCGTGTGCCCTTTAAATGTGGTAAAAATTCCAATACCCTTTGCGATGCTAAATTTTGAAATATTCGAGTTTAAACTTTAACTTTTACATGCGATTAGGTTAACAATAAAAAATGTCAACCACAATATCTCGTTTTTTGACATGACAAAGGGTTTTGAAATCTTTACCACATTTAGAAATTTTTTTAAAAATTATTTAAAAAGATGTATTTAAAATTTTTTAAAATTTATATACTACTTCTTTAAACTGACATATTCATTTATCTATACTTAATGTATTAGTGTGCTTAAAATGTTAAAAGTTTAACATTTTCATTGGACAGAAGAACATAAAATTCACTGATAATTTAAGTGTATAACATATGCAACATATACAAACTTGTGCAAATTTTCTTAACTGATTGAATAAAAATAATACTTATAATTTATCAATATTTCATTCAAGTATAAACAAGTTGTTATTATTTTTAAATAATTATATTTTAAGACTTTCAAACAAATTTAAATATATATTTTGAGATTTTAATCCTGTTCCAAAATCAATTAACTATTTGACAATAGGTTAGGAATGAACGTTATCTACACTTTGAAGTTACTGATTTTTAAATTTAGGGAAAATATTATATTTTTAGCGCCAGGATATTTTACTTAAAATTATCCAAAAGATTAATTAATTAAATTTACTTTAAATTCTAATACTAATTGAACAATTTATTTATTCGGCAAAATAAATACACACTGTCACTGAATTTAGATTTATCACAATTAATTTACTTTAAACTCTAATACTAATTGAACAATTTATTTATTCGGCAGAAGGCCGAATTTTTAGAATTCAAAATACCGCATAACATAATGCGGCGACAAACATCACTCTATGAACAATCTAAATTTCAAACAAAATAAATTTTTATGCCAATCTGCAAGAAACCACAATTATAAGTAATTTGGACTCACCATCAATAAGAGGGCTCCTTTTCCAGACTTAGCACTATTGAAATTATTAATTTACCCTTTTTAAACTTTAATTTTGAATGGCGTGATGCGCTTTCTGCTGTCACCAAAATGAGAATGAAATGAATTTAAATGGCCGTGGACTCGGCCACGAACGCATCGCTACACGCGCGCTTCGTTTTCTTGTGCCACTAAGTCGAGGCGTATCTACTATTTTTACAATTTAGTTTTCACTTGATAGACAATTATTTTCGACCGATAAAACAGAACTACTTCACCAGCAATTCATTAGGGTCTTTAATTCAAAATGGCCGCTGCCAGTGTTTTGACAGGACACAGGACCAAAACAACGAATGGTTTTCGTCTTTCTGGTGCTCTTATGAATATTCGGGAATCACATCCGAATATTCACCGGGAAGCACTTTCCCTGATGACTTCGACCAACGACAGGCGTTGATGGATTTCCTTATTTCCAAAATAATGAACATTTCTCGATGAATATGAAATATAATAAAATACGAACGGCAGAATATGTTTTAATTAAGTTTTGTTACAATATTGTTGATCTGGCGAGCTGGTAGGTTTTATTCAATTAAATTTCAATGAATTAATTAATCCAATTTACAAGGTATAATTTATTCTTATAAAATTCAAAATACAAATGGTAATTTTTATTTATTTATTTTTAGAAAAATGAAATGATTCTCGTTTATTTGATGGATCATTTTTCATAATTCATTTATTCTTATACTGGAGTGATATGAAAAAATATTATTTTCCAAAAAAAGCACATTAATGTTTTGTTTTCATCGATGTCATTGTTTTTGTTTACATTTAGTAGACTAAAAATTCCCTCGATAAACGAAGCGTTTAAAGATTATGGTGTTGAACAGTATTGAAATTTTACCGTTGGCTAATAAATATTTTTTAGTTTGTTTATAAACAAACATTTAAATTTTTAAAACATATACTCTCAAAAAGGATAATATAAAGTGTGTCCATATACCAAATTTTATTGAAAAATATGCAAAATTGTAAATTTGGCAGCGAGTTGAAGTTAAAATTTTAATTAAAAATTTGTTTGATAAAAAAAAAGTTTTTTAAATTATATACATACAAAAAAGATGTAGTTTTTATTCTTTATAAGAGCTATGTCTGGTTCTTGCATCAAGGCGTTTAATTGTTGTTAAATAATTGGAAATTTAATATTTCTTCCTATACGATAATAGAAATCATTCAAATTGTTTTATACCAAGAAGACTAGTTTTATACTCGGTCCGAAATTTCATTTTTCTCCGTGTTGATAAATTACCATATGATTTGTGTACCTCTTTAAAAAAAAGTTAGAATGTTGGGGAATTTTGATAGTTATCTACAAATAAATATTCACTGTTGATAAAGATGAACTTCACTTCACGTTTTCATTCGGCATTACCCACTGGTATTGCACTAGAATATCTGGTTGGCGCACATTTAATTTTTTTAGAGATTTTATCAAAACTAATATTTTTCTCTTACTGCTGGTGTATTTATGGTTTATATTTATTTATCCATTTCTATTAGCTCTTAACACTATCCAAACATTATTGACCTTTTTTATAAAGTCCAGGAATATTGGTCCAATTCGCCAAATGCATATAAAAACGAATTGGTCAAATCTGACCAACTAATAATTCTTTTTTACTGCGTTCTACATTGAAGTTGAAAACTTTTGTTTTTGAAGATATTAGAAGATGTTTCTCAGATTACTTCTCTCTGCAGATGAAATATTTTTAGAATTTAAAATATCTAGCTAATATTTTTGAAGGTAATAATTATTAAAAAATTTTAAAAAAGGCGATATAAATAGAAATTTATTAAGAAAGCAGGTGCGATGTAGGTTAAAAGAAAGGGTGACGTTGGTGACGCAGGTGATAAATTATGATGACTAGTGTGATAATATTTGTGCAAATACAGGAACGAAAGGGTGCAAGGCAATTTGAATATTTTGACAAGGTTGTATTTATCGGGAATGGAATAATTGTTGCTTGGCCTCATTATCAAGACGCATGCACACTATTTGATACAAGAGTGCATTTTGCGATTGCGCATCATCATCGACAACCTCAAGCCACCCTTCTCGCTATATGAATTTATTTCAACCCTCCTCGTCGTCGTCGTTCGAAAGTCTCCTCAGCGCTCTCAGTTTTAGCTGAGAGTTGACAGTTCTCATTTAACAAAATTGTAAAATAATTTCATCATTTGGAGGAATCTTGTACTATTCAAAATAAACAATAAAACTGAGTCGCGCTTCGCACAGTTTATTGGGCTATGAAT